CTTTAAAACCACTTAAGCTCAGGGCATTTTTTTAACTCAAATTCAAATGTTTGCCCTACACACATACAATGGGGGAAATGAAAAAAAGTATGAAAATATGAGTGTAATTCTTTATAAATAACATTATATACTTCTGTCAGGACCACTATCGTCAGAATGATAGATACTTAGCATAAAGTTTGGTTTGGCGGTATGGTTCTGTTCTGGGCAAAAAACCTCCCTGCCCATCCATGCAGCCTGTCATGAATGAGCAGGGAGAGCAGCAATAATAACCCCCCTAGGGTTAACAGAACAGAACAATGCAGATATCATTAATGTTAACGACTTTCTACTTCGAGGACCTTGATAGAAATGTAGTGGAGTGAAAAGTACAATATTTGTCTTTCAAATGTAGTGAAGTTAAAGTCATAAGTTCCCAGAAAAAATAATACTCAAGTAAAGTACAGATACTCAAAAAGTGTACTTAAGTACAATACTCAAGTAAATGTACTTAGTTACTGTCCGCCTCTGTCTATAACAACCTAAAATAGAATCCATATCCTCCAGCTTTATATCATTCCATTTATATGCATTCTGTATTGGGATAGTGATCAAAGCATCTCTCACCTCAGCATCAGTTGAGCACCGCATCTCTGTCTTAACTTTACATAACTTGTAATTTCATAATCATAGACTAATATGATCCGAGTCGCGTTCGCTACAACTCTTCCGTGGCGGAGAAAAGCCTCCAATTCTCACGTCCTTGAACTACATTAGCCACAGACCACTGGCTGGCCGACCGGATGGAGACGCCCTCTCTCTGGCCCACCCTGGTGACGCAGCGGTGTCAGAGTTCACAGAGTCTGTAATGGCCGATCTGAGTGACGTGTAATCTGACCAATTGCAGCCCAGAACTGACCGCAGATCTCTATAACATCAGAAGGGCTCCATGCGCGCTGGAATGAGATGGAGAGCCATGATCCCCTGACGCGCTGGATTCCGTTACCTGGACAGAACGCGAATATCTCACCGATGGAAGCACGCAGAAACGTGAAAATGGTCTTGTTTGAAAGAAGAGATCCTAATCTAAAAGTTTATAGATATTTGTGGCTGTTTGCGGCTAACTGAAGCAGTGATACGAGTAGAAATGTTACACAATAAAAAATTCTGTTTTTTTTATTTTTATATCGCAATTCAATTGAAGATAATTCGATCTATGATTGTCACACAATGAAATAATCTACATCGTCAAATTCCTGAGAATGAGAGCTTTTTTTGTGATATATGACTTGACTTTATTGTGAAAAACATATCAAATACACATTCTTCGTAAAAAAAAGCAATGAAATAATCTACATCGTCAAATTCCTGAGAATGAGAGCTTTTTTTGTGATATATGACGACTTTATTGTGAAAAACATATCAAATACACATTCTTCGTAAAAAAAAGTTCGCAATGGTTAGACGGAAAATCGTGTGTGGGACGAATACATTTCTAAGCTTAATTTTACTGCTTTATGAATATAAAAACCAAAAGGAATGGTATTCTTTTTAAAGAAGACACTCCAAGCTTTCAAATGAACCCATATATGGGCTGATACCATATAAGGAAGGCTATGTAAATGAAGCATACACATTTTTTACATGACTTTGGACCCGTATCCGGGTCCGCAGAGTTTAACTGGTTTTAACACATGAGTCAGATTTGGAGAACTGTTACTGCAAAACTCTACACACAAATCCCTACATTTATCAGTGCTTACAACACGTGGTCATTTAGAAAGCACTAGCATTCAATACTGTTCTCACAAGTCAGCACAGCTTGAGATCAATTAGCAAACAATTACCCAGGTGAAAACACTAAGAGTCAAAATTGAACACACATCAATCAGATCCTTCAATAAAGAGTCGCTTCACCGTCGCCTCCATCATCAGAACCTTCAGGGAGGAAAACGGGTAGGTGTACTTACAGTAAGACTGCTCTGTACAGTAACTTTAGAGTGCATACACAGTTGCACTATGCTACTGTAATAAAGAAATGCATCAAATTTCCTCGCATACAGATAGAGTTTCAGTATGTTTCCATTTTTTCCTGTAAAAAGGATGTGTGACAGTTACAGTAATTAGTGCTTCTATTTTTGTAGGACACAGAGACTACCACCTGATGGAGGCAGGCTAAGGCTTTTGTCGGAGGAGCAAGAGAGGGAGCTTGTAAACATGGTCATTGCCAATAATGTAATCCGCCTGCGAGAGATTCAAAGGAGAGTGATTGAGGATAATCATCATTTCCGAGGGATAAATGCCATCAGCCTCTCCACAATTGATCGCATCCTCCGAAAGCACCGGTTCCGGATGAAACAGGCGTACCGCGTCCTTTTCGAATGAAACTCTGACAGAGTGAAAGACCAACGAGTGGAATATGTTCAGGTATGAGTTTTGATATCGTATGAAGCATTGTGTACCATCACAGTATAGCAGTTTATCCTGCCATTTGTGCCCTCTTGAACTGTGCTTCAGCTGTGTTTCATGTGTTTTGCAGAGAATCTTTGAGATTGAAGGCCGGCCTGTTCCCCATGAAATTATCTTTGTGGATGAGGCTGGTTTCAACCTGACCAAAAGAAGGAGAAAGGGGAGAAACATAATTGGGCATCGGGCTATTGTAAATGTCCCTGGTCAGCGCGGAGGGAATGTCACTATGTGTGCAGCCATCAGCCAACGAGGGGTACTCCACCGTCATGCCATTCTAGGACCCTATAACACTATGCTCCTCCTTGCTTTTCTTGATGGTCTAAGAGAGCATATGTTCCAGCTGGACCTCGGGGAACCAGCACAGCCAGAGCAGCCTCGTTACATTGTTGTTTGGGATAATGTCAGCTTTCCTCGCGCTGCTCTGGTTCGTGACTGGTTTACCAATAACCCGAGGTTTTCTAACATCTTTCTGCCTGCATACTCTCCCTTTCTAAACCCGATAGAGTAGTTTTTTCGGCATGGCAGTGGAAAGTGTATGACTGAGAACCTTATATCCGTGCTCACGGCCATGGAAGAAGCCTGCCTAGACATATCAGTAGATGCATGCCAGGGGTGGATCGGGCATGCAAGAGGATTTTATCCTCGCTGCCTGGCTAGGGCCAATATAGCCTGTGTGGACGAGATTCTCTGGCCTGACCCAGAACAAAGACGGGATGCTGAGGCAGACCATCAGCCAACGAGGGGTACTCCACCGTCATGCCATTCTAGGACCCTATAACACTATGCTCCTCCTTGCTTTTCTTGATGGTCTAAGAGAGCATATGTTCCAGCTGGACCTCGGGGAACCAGCACAGCCAGAGCAGCCTCGTTACATTGTTGTTTGGGATAATGTCAGCTTTCCTCGCGCTGCTCTGGTTCGTGACTGGTTTACCAATAACCCGAGGTTTTCTAACATCTTTCTGGGGTCAGTATAGCCTGTGATGTGGACGAGATTCTCTGGCCTGACCCAGAACAAAGACGGGATGCTGAGGCAGAATAATTCATTTATTTCTTTATTTTACATTTGTACTGTGTAGTACATGAATGAATACAAATGTGCCAATGTATACATTGGTTGTGTCTTTTGTGTTTATGTGAAAAGGTTTTTGAGGGGGAGAACCACAAGCAACACAACTTACCAGTTTAGGATCTATTGTTTTGAATTTATTGCACCAGTGTGTAATACTATGTTGTAGTGTGTGTGTGTGTGTTTGAAAGCTTGTGTGTGATGTCTGAGGGAAAAGTTTGGTTTTTCAGCAAGAGTGAATGGTTTTGAGTGTAGAGCTTCATTTTGACCTGAAAATAGGATGTTTGGGGAATTGGGTGAGACGTTATGAATTTGTGTTTACTGTTTTGAGAATACGAGGCATAGTTTCAAGAAATGTGTTTAAGCAATCGAGAAAAACTGTAATATTGCTTCCTCCAGTGAAATAGTTGTCTCGTGTGAATTAGGAGAGAAATATGCACAAATCAAGCAATGTTTACAAGTGAAAACAGTCCAAATTTTGATGTGAGAGCACAACAGGTGATGGAAGGAAGCATTATCATGGATTGAGGACTATTATTTAAAATATAAGTGATGTATTAAAATTGAAACACCTTAAGGATGGATTAATTTTTTTGGTGAACTATTCCTTTAATAGTTTAGTACAGTGTACAGTATTTTGTCCTAAACTGTTTGTGCTACAGACAGAATATGACTGACTTTGGGAGGAGACTTTGGACAGTAATCATCCTCTTGAACGTTTTTTATGGTGGCCCAGTAGTGCACAACATAACGCAATTAAAAAAGCAAACATAAGCTCACAACACAACAACATTAAAAAAAGCAAACATAAACTCACAACACAACGCAATTCAAAAAGCAAACATAAGCTCACAACACAACAACATTAAAAAAAGCAAACATAAACTCACAACACAACGCAATTCAAAAAGCAAACATAAGCTCACAACACAACAACATTAAAAAAAGCAAACATAAACTCACAACACAACGCAATTCAAAAAGCAAACATAAGCTCACAACACAACGACATTAAGCTCACAACACAATGCCATTAAGCTCACAACACAATGAACACAACGCAATTCAAAAAGACATTAAGCCACAATACAACGACATTAAGCCACAACACAACAACATTAAGCTCACAACACAACGACATTAAGCCAGAACACAACGGAAATGCTCCCGACCACTAGGGGGCAGTTGGTCTGCAGAAATGGGAAATGGACTCTATACATGGCACGCAGTCTACGTATTTCCGGTGAAATCACAGGGCGCATAAAAGGTTCCGGTCTGTATTCAGCCATAGCATGAGTGCATTACCAGCTGCAATCTTTTGTCAATGAACGATTAATATAAAATAATATTTATACATTTTATTGCAATAATATAACAAATTAACTACACCACAGTAATATAATTATTTAATGAAGAGTTCCATAAAGTTTAAACATCCGTGAGGTGGTTTGTCCCGCTATTGCTCTGTCCCGTTTTGTGGGGCTTCTCAAAAGTTTTTCACACTTCTCCCCTGGATGAAGAAACTCGCAATAAGTGGATTCAAAGTAGTAGATGTAAGGATTTTAATATCACTTTTGATACTACAGTCTGCAGGCGCCACTTACGGTAATGACAACATACGGTTCTACACTAGGTAAGATCTAAACCCTTATTTACATTACTACCATGCACAATGTAGGCCTGTTGTGAATTTTTTTTTTTTTCTCGCTGTGGTTGCCTGTTTTTTAAAAACCACTTCTGTGGGTCTGGGCAATATGTGTTAATGAGTTAATAGATGATTCACCCAAAAATTTAAATAAAGCTGTCATCATATACTCACCTTTATGTAGTTGTAAACCCATATGGCTTGATTTCTTAATTGGCATACAGAAATGTTGTAAATAATGTTAGTGTGAGTCAGCTATTTAGATATTTTTTCCCCCACAGAAGAAATTCATTATGGTTTAGAATGACACGAGGGAGAACAAGCTAAAACCCCAGTTAAAATAATTGTTTTCATAAGAGTACTTGCATGTCAATACTTTATACTTTTTTTAAGTAACCATCAGGTTCAGTGTAGGCAAACTTGCATTGTTATTATATTGTGTGGTGTGCATTTTCTGAAAACATGTCTCATTCAATCTAGATTTGAGATGTAGAACCATTTAATGGCCTTTTGGAGAGTTATTGAATCTGCATTCCACATGGTTTGTGTGACCAGAGCGAGGACAGCTACAACGAGGAGAGAAGTTGGAATAACAAGCAATGCAATGGTAAATATTGATATTATATTATTTGTGACAAAGAAAATTTTATATTTATTTTTAATTTTTGATGTGCACGTTACATGCATATATCATACTTATTTAAAATGTATTTGACAGTGTCAGTCTCTGCAGCCCTTCGATGAGTTCCTCCTCTTCGTGGTCCAACTTTCAGTCGGTCTTCCACAGAGAGATCTGGCCTTACACAAAACACTTGGGATGGATTAATTTGGTTTTATTTGTACAGACTAGAATATTAAATATAACGTAAATGCAAATATATATATAACTTTAATACAGTTTCTTGCTCACTAGTGTAATCTGAACATGTAATGACTGTGATAGTGTAATGGTATGGTTTTTTTAACACTTCTGCCACTTGGAGGACTGATAGGTCAAGCAGATCACTGGTGACACCACTGTAAACATTCTCCTGAGATGAAAAACAAAGGTATAGTGTAAATTGACCATTAAAAAAATACAAATCTTCCACCACTGTCATTACATGTTGCATACATTATGAATGGAGCCATATCCAATATGATTGTGTTTTTGTCTTTTTTCTGCTAGGGCTAATCATATAGGCATGTTACACATTATGAATATAGCAATATATGAAAATATGTAATTAGACAGTCTACTCCTACCTTAACCACTCAGCGAGTTTCCTCTCTTGCAAACAGGACCACCGTCCCACTGACAGGACCTGCCTTAACTAATTACTTTGTTGCATTTTAAATTGTTACATTGTAAATTAAACTATATTTAAAATAAATTATGAAGAATTAAGTCTATATAATGTTACAAACATGCCAATACACTGTAAAGAGTTAAGTAATATTTCAAAGGATGTCCCTACTCTTAACCATTCCTGATCTTGTTTGCTTCCGATCTTAATTGACATATAATGTTACAAACATGCCAATACACTGTAAAGAGTTAAGTAATATTTCAAAGGATGTCCCTACTCTTAATCTTGTTTGCTTCCGATCTTACAATACATGTACTTACAATACAATACGATACATGGCAATCTAAAAATGGGAACAGTATTTAAAATACTTTATATCAATCCTAATTGCTTCTGATCTTAATTGCTTTTTTACTGAACAGCTTCATCATGTTTGTGTTAGGGATCCCTGGAAAACTGCTATATTAAATGTAAATGATCAATTGAAGCTTCAGGAAAATATAACGATGAACTGCCAGAAACAGTCAGACTTAAGGTTTATTACGATACATGGCAATCTAAAAATGGGAACAGTATTTAAAATACTTTATATCAAGTTAAGACGTTCCTATCACAGCCTCAGATGCAAACAAACGTGGATTACCGGGAACTCTGATGTTATTGCTACTATCTCTTGGGAGTTATAAAAACCTGAGGTGGACAGAGTTTAAAGCTAAACTCTAACTTAGCCCTGCTATTTAAGTGGTGATCAAATCGGCGCAGAAGTCATGCAGCGTTATCCAGCCTTATTAGCAAGATTTGCTAGAATATGATAGAACAATACTCACCCTAAAGTTGTCGATGTAACTTGAAACGTTTTATGCCCTTCTCCGTGCGATTAAATTCATTTACAGTAATCCGGGGAAGTTCTTGTAAGCTGAAAAAGTATCTTCTCTTGTCATTTTGAAAGCTTTACGTAAGGAACAATGGCTTTCGGCACAGCACCGGATTTAAGTAAGCCCCCTGAGGAAAAATGCGGAAGTGACCGTGCATAGAGTCCATTGTGCACAAGAGCAGAGCTAAACTGTCCAAATGGAAAATAATATTGATTTATTTTCTGCTCGATTCATGAATCGATATATTAAAATGACCAACTTCTCCGTGCGATTAAATTCATTTACAGTAATCCGGGGAAGTTCTTGTAAGCTGAAAAAGTATCTTCTCTTGTCATTTTGAAAGCTTTACGTAAGGAACAATGGCTTTCGGCACAGCACCGGATTTAAGTAAGCCCCCTGAGGAAAAATGCGGAAGTGACCGTGCATAGAGTTAATTGTGCACAAGAGCAGAGCTAAACTGTCCAAATTGAAAATAATATTGATTTATTTTCTGCTCGATTCATGAATCGATATATTAAAATGACCAGGATATCAAAACATTCAGTAAAAACACGTTGTTCATTTACAAATTGATTACACATATTAAGATCAATCGCTTACATTGAGAATTTCTTGTGGCGTCTCGAGGAAATATCGGTGTTTAACTGTCAACACTGCCCCCTAGTGGTCGGGAGCATTTCCGTTGTGTTGTGGCTTAATGTCGTTGTGTTGTGAGCTTAATGTCGTTGTGTTGTGGCTTAATGTCGTTGTGTTGTGAGCTTAATGTCGTTGTGTTGTGGCTTAATGTCGTTGTGTTGTGGCTTAATGTTGTTGTGTTGTGGCTTAATGTCGTTGTGTTGTGAGCTTAATGTCATTGTGTTGTGGCTTAATGGCGTTGTGTTGTGGCTTAATGTCGTTGTGTTGTGAGCTTAATGTCGTTGTGTTGTGGCTTAATGTCGTTGTGTTGTGGCTTAATGGCATTGTGTTGTGGCTTAATGTCGTTGTGTTGTGGCTTAATGGCGTTGTGGCTTAATGTCGTTGTGTTGTGAGCTTAATGTCGTTGTGTTGTGAGCTTAATGTCGTTGTGTTGTGAGCTTAATGTCGTTGTGTTGTGGCTTAATGTCGTTGTGTTGTGAGCTTATGTTTGCTTTTTTTAATGTCGTTGTGAGCTTATGTTTTCTTTTTGAATTACATTGTGTTGTGAGCATATGTTTGCTTTTTTAATGTCGTTGTGTTGTGAGCTTATGTTAGCTTTTTTAATGTTGTTGTGTTGTGAGCTTATGTTTGCTTTTTTAATTGTGTTGTGTTGTGCACTACTGGGTCACCGTAGTTTTGTATTAGCAAACGCCAAAAATAAAAAAATGTTGTAGTTTGTACTGCAAAGACAGAAATATATTTATGAAGTCTACCAATAATTTATGAAACAATTTGGGTCAAACTTCTGAGCATAGATCCTGCTATGGATCTGCATGGACAAACACATTTATGGCTCCTCATTTGTGCTACAATCACAAGAAGAACAGTAAAGAAATAAATCCCAAAAGTTTTTCTTCTCTGTTTCTGTTCTTAATACGAAGTTGTTTTCCTCTGCTTTGCTCCATCGATCTGCCCCTGACAAATTTTGATTCAATGCTCATATTTTTCCATCTAAGTAAATGTCCAACAAAACACTTGACGAATGGACTCACTAGTTTATCGAGTAAATAATGAAAAGATCATTTGGTAGACTGGATGTCGCGAGCGGGATCAGTCAATGGGGAACTACAGAATGAGCTACTTCGTTCTGAAAGCCAACAGGAATTGTTTTCCTTTTCCCTTTCACTTTCAAATAGCATTTCATCCAAGAAAGTCCATACGTGTCAGCCAATCGATGTCACAGAGCATAATCAGAATGTCAAATATCTTAAGTGCTCTGATATTTTCGTGAAAACTTTCCCGGGCAGAGCTGTACATTGATTAGCGTCAAACTGAAATTAAGAAGACACTGTCTGGCACATTTTAAAAATGTCTGGGAGTAGTTTTTTTTATCAAATGAGGACTGTCATTAAATATGATCATAACAGTGTTTGACCACTCCCATGTGTCAGGAAGATATTGATCTGACACATAGGAAATGTGTGCGTGTTCAGGTTTTCCCACATCTGTTCTTTGTCAGGATATCTGTGATAGGCCTCAAGGTCTCCAGAGGCCCTTTGATTCAACATGGAAAAAGCATTACTGCATTGCAAGCGGTTCAGTAATCCACTCCAGTAATTACAAGAAGCAAAGGAGCTTGTAAGTGTGTGCATGTCATGACCTAGTGTGCTCAGAAGTGACTTGTGGTGGATTTGTAAAAAAAAAATTAAATGTACAGTTTACCCAAAAAATTGATTGATTGATTTAAATTTAATTTAATTTAATTGTATTTTCCTGCAATGAAAGCCAATGGGGTTCAGTCTTATTTTGGATGCTATTGACTTTCATTGTACGATTATTATTGAGTATTATTTTTAGGTGTACTATTACATTAAGGCCTCAATGAATGCAATAGCTGAGCTTCTGTCTGCTATTTTTGGGATTATTTATTATTCTGATTTGTGGTTGCATGGATGACATAACAATGTGTTTACATGCACTGGTCTACCGTCAAAATGAGCCGGCCATTCAGCATAACTAGCCAAGAGAAAGAACTCTTTCTGTGAGACTGGCCTTATACTGTGGATGACTGGACTGCTGCCTATCGAAGCGGCATCTTTATTCGGTCGGAAAATGAATCCTCAAGGAACATGGCCAAAGCTCTTTATTGTGTATGCAGTGTGTGGCCAGGTTCAAATTGGCAATCAATTATCCAATTAAGACTGACAGAAAGGCACATCAGGAATTCCAACCCATCCGTCCAGGCTCGCGATTGGAACACGATTAGAGGGACTTAATTAAACCCTAGGTGCAGGGTGTTTAAACATCGTTTGTGGGGCGTCAAAGGAGTTTGGAAATATAAAAAAACGCTTACTTTAGATTCTCCACACATTTTTCTGTTGGGTCTGTGGAGGACACTTCTCAGCTAAAAGGTGACGTGTAGTAACAGAGGTGATATGAGAGGGATCTGGCAAAATTTTATTCTTACAATGGCAGAGAGAGGTGTAGTCAGGAAATGTTTTTCAAATGTGTAAGACATTTACATTTGTGTATTTGTAAGACGTCCTGGGCATCGAACCCACAACCTTGGTGTCACCTTGTTTTTCCAGTTGAGCTTCATAAAACAGGAAATTACATCATAGAAAGAACCCCAGCAGACCATCATGACTGAAATCTCCTCAAATAACGACTAATTATAAATAGCTTATAAATAGATAATTTGAGCTTTATGAGATTTGTCATGCACATTTAGGTTTCCAAATTTACATCCCTGACTTCCCAGAAAATGTAATATTTCTGAATTATTAACTGCTAAAACATATTAGCTAAATAAAGGTATGTACACGTTATTAACTTTTTCCTAATAAAATTTTTAGAATCATTAAATTAAACTTTTCTTGAAAATGTCACAAAAAATCGGCATGAATATACATTTATGAGTGCATTCCTGAAAAGTGCATTTGTTTTAAACACTTTTATCTGTTATCGACCCCTTGTAAAAAATGTATGTTTAATAAATGAGTGAATAAAAAAAATGTGTTCTTCAATAAGGGCTTTCACACTG